ATCTGTACGCGGTTGCAATAAAATCGCGTCTAGACGCAGTAAAAATCGATTTTAGCCGCGTCTGAACGCAGTTTACAATAAAATCGCGATTGGATGCGTGTATTCTGCATTTGGTGTTTACATGGGTAGATTGATGCATATTTGCGCTTTTAGGTAAGCTTCATTTTATGACATTTAATAAATTTGTTTGTCTTTTTATTATAGGCTAATCCATATATGCACTTTTAAGTACGTTTCTTCTCATCAAATAGAAATAATTCCTTCAATTTTCTATTATAAATCGATTAGTGTATGGAATCTTAGGTAAGTTTGATCTGATGAAAATTAATATTTCTGTTTTTTATTATAGATTCATTCATATGTAGAATTAAAGTAAGTCTTATCTTATCCAGAGCTGGACAAGTCTAGTCAAAACTGTTCCAAGTCAAGTCAAGTCAAGCAGAGTCTGACTTGACTTGAGAAAATTTTTTAGTATGGTTGACTTGACTTGAGAAAATTTTTTAATGTAGTTAACTTGACCATCAAGTCAAGCCAAGTCAAATCTAGTCGAGTCAGAGTGCTAAAACCTTTTCCCAAGTCAAATTGAGTCAATTCAGACTTGACTTTACTACTGAAAAAGGTTTTAGTACTCTGACTCAACTAGATTTGACTTGACTAGATTTGGAAAAATGTTTTATGACTGATGACTTGGCTTGACTTGTGACTTGAAAAACACTTGAGTTGCCCAGCCCTGACCTTATCAATTTTCATTTATTTATTTAGTGTCTTATTATAGATTGATGCATGTATACACTTTTAGGTAAGTTTGATCTTATAAGATTTAATAAATATGTTTACCTTTTTATTATAGAATGATCCAAATGCGAAAATAATGGAGTAAGTTTGATCTTATAAAATGATTATATTTATTATTTCTATATTATAGGTTGTTTCAATTATGGAAATCAGCGGTGGATTTGACTATGACTCTCTGGTGTCGTTCATGGTATGCATACTATTCCAGTATTTCTGAAAACCAATTGTGATATATATCAAATAAATCAAAAGTAAGAGGAAGTAGTCTGTAGTAGAGTAATTTTTTGCATCAATAAAGGAAAATTACTCTGTAGACTATTTTCACTTACTTTTGATTTATTTGATATATATCATAGTTAGTTTTTCAGAAATACTGAAATAGTATGCATACCACGGACGGCACCAGAGGGTTAAATGAAATTTTTCATTGGACAAGCAATTAGAAAAAGGTTTAGTGCAAATCATTTTGTACGAAACCTTTATTGAATTGTTTTTTCTTAGGTCTGGTACGAAACCATTGCTACGAAACCTTTTTTTGAATGATTTTCGAAAGGTTCGATACGAAACCTTTTTTTGAATTGTTTTTGAGAGGTTTTGTACGAAACCAATGCTACGAAACCTTTTTTTTTAATTTTCATAAACGGGTTTGGTACGAAACCCTTTTTCTGCGAAACCAAAAAAGGTTCTTCCCCTGGACACGCGGGAAGAACCTTTTTTGGTTTCGAAAAAACCTTTTTTTTAAGAGTGAACCAGCTTTTAAAAAAATAAAAAAGGCAATAACATTCATGCTTTTAAGTCGTCAGCGAAAAATCTTAGGAGTGAGTAAAACAGCATAAACTTATTCTCAGCATTAATATACATTAATCTGTTCTTTCTGTTTCTGCACTTTGATTTCCACAGCTTTTGAAGAATAAAGATACTAGGTAGGAAACTAAGGGGGCCTAAACTGACTAAAGGGAATAAAAGGACTAAAGGGATTAAAAAGACTAAAAGTATTAAAGGGACCTAAAAGGAGTAAAGTAATTAAAGGGATTTAAAAGGAATAAAGTGATGAAGAGACTCAAAGGATTAAAGAAATTCAAAGAGACTAAAGGGATTAAAGGGATCTAAAATGACTAAACGGATACCTTGAAGGTCTAAAAGTGAAACGAGATAAATTTTATTTTTCGTAGACCCCTCTCTTCTTCAGATGCAATCATAAGGATTTTTCTTCTTTATATACAGGTGTATACATATGCACTCACGTGCTTCTTCTTTTCTTATATTGTTTAGGTATGCACCAAGAACTTTCTCTCTTCTG